TTGAGCACCCAGTGGTGAAATAGTCCCTGTTCCACAAGTAGATCTTGTCAACAACAACCAAAAGTACCAGACGGAGAGAAGAGTGTTTGCTTTCAGGCTTCAGGCTACTTTGCGAGATTGTTTTGGAAGGCCTTGCAGGTTTGCTGCTCCTCAAAAGGGCAATATGTCTGCCAAAACCCACCCAGTAGAATGTGCCTCCAGGCCCACGCCTTTGGCCCCGCTCTCAGCGCGGGGGCGCCTTACGCAGACGGCGCCCGTGCCAGCCGGGGCCACCCAGACGTGTTGAAGCAAATGAAAGGTACAAGGAACAGATGTGCCCCTCGATTTGATGCTGGGAAGATTTGATGATGAATCCTTGCCTCTCAGCTGATGGGTTTGGGATTTTGTTCAATTCATTCGCTTGGCATTTGCGGCACCGTTCAACGCCCGATCGCCGCCCACAGGACCTCTCTTCCTCAATGGCGGCGGCGGAAGCACGGGGCAGGCCATCCACGGGGTTGGACATGAGGAAGAGCACCAGCAGTCCTTCTGAAACCAACTCACGCTTCACAAGACTCGAAAAGGAGAACCTGGAAGCATCAGAAGATTGGCTCAAGCAGTGTTTCACATTGTTTCCCTCACAGTCCTGTTTTTCAATTCGCCAAGGTCAGAGAGGTTCACCACCACTTCTACGTTTGATGTTGTTACAGCCCTTTGTCGTTCCCACACACGATGCTGATTCTGTACTGGTCAGAGTCTCCCATAGTCTCCCTCCACTGTCTACACTAACTATAACCAGGATGTCCAACCAACCAACCAGCCAGCTAGCCAGCGATTCAAATGATGCCCCAGCAACGTTCAGGTCTGCGCGCACCATGGCCGTGGCACCTAAGTCAGCACGAGGCAGGCGGCTTCGAGTCGGATTCACTGCGATTCACTCACACGGACCATGGACGGAGTAGGCGATCTTCCGGGCCCTACTAACAGAGGGTTTTTGTGTGATTTTGAAGGACATGTACCTGCTGAAATGGCTGTGGGGTCAAACGAGGAGGCCTTGGTTTGACCTACCTGGATGGTCAAGCTACATGCTGCAGTTGCACCAATGCTCCAGGTTTTGATCCATCCCAAATGGATAACATGACAGCATATGACACTTAGATCAGAAATGTTTGGAGTCATGAGTGATGCCTCATCCCTTTGCAAACTGACAGCTTCCAAGATCTCCCAAGTTCATGATGGGTTTGGTCAAAATTCCACTACCCGGTACCCTCGGACAAACAAACACTGAAGCTGGCAGGGCCAATCTCCCTTTGCCCCCCTCCTGTTCACAATGTAATGTTCAGTTTCTATATGTTTCCACCTTTTCTTGTTTTGGTCGCTCGTATGCTTTTTTCATTCGCCGCTTGCGTTGCCGTTGATGTTTCTTCGTACTATGTAGCTGGAACCAGGGTCACAGAGCACATATGCATAGAGCCGCTGTGTACTGCATTTGCACCTGGTGGGACATGGGCTCATCCAGCCCTCCAACGGGGGTCCTCACCTGACCGAGCACCAGGCCATGGGCCCTATGGCCCCCATGGGCCCAACAAGATGGCCGTCACACTTGCAGCCCTCAGAGATGAGGTCTGGGCGGGACGAACGTAGCCTACTGACTACTTTAAACAAATAGAATCAAATCAAAGCATTTGCGGACAATTACGGATCTTTGTGGACAATTGAGATGGTTGTTTGGTTGTAGCTGTTCACAAGTGTTGCATCTCCAGGTGCAGAAGCAGGCGGACACCTTGAGCCCCCGCAGCACCAGTCCGCGCTCTCCAGTGGCCAGAGCTGCCAGGGGCTTCAGATTCCTTGGGACTTGCTGTTCAGAGAATTTGTTTGGAAGAAAAAGGCATTCTTCCTTGTACCTTTGGCTTCTTTAAGGGGACAGTGAAGCACAGGAAGAACCACATTGCTTGATTCACCAAGGATCCATGTCCACAAACACATTTCCTCTCAACATCGGTCTTGTGCTCTGAATGTTGCTTTTGCGTGCTTTGGATTTGCAATGATTTGCATATTTACATAAAAGTATAGTTATATATATAATATATATGGTTTGTTTATCACACTCCAAGTCATCAGCACGACTTCATGTGTTTATTGACTCATGCTTGGACTGGTTCACAGCCGAGGTGCCCAGCCCCAAGCCACAGGCTGCGATTCCGGAGCTGGGAGATGCCATGGATCGGGCATCGTTCCCGACTGGATGACGCGAACGGCGCCTAGGTCAATGAAAGGACGAGGATTCAGGAGACCGACCAATGTAACGATCGCTTGAGTCCATTTTTCGACCAAATCATCGGGGTGTATAGCGGGTGTGGTTTTTTGGTGTACCCTTGGTCCAGGAAGTGTGGGGTATATAGTATCCAAGATGAAAGAAAAGAGGCAGGGTGTACCAATCCAAGGATGGTCATTTTGAAGAGGGGCAGGGTCACTCTTGGGTGTACTCCTATGTGTACCAGGTCTTGGTGTCCTCTTGACCTTTTCTTTTCCCACCTTTGCCAGGTGGTACCTTCACCGCCCAAGGCTGGAGCCTTCAGGCTTCGTGACCGGTTGGGGACAGGATTCGGAGGTCATTTTGAACACAAAAGCTGCGAAAGACTTAGAGACATCCTGAGACGCAGAGCGAACAAGAGTAATGACGAGCATTGAATCGAGCAGATTCAGGACCTCATTTTTGGAGCGACACTGACTCTATGGCATCCTCTGGCTACAGAATATATATATATATATTAATATAGAGACCCGAGATCCTTTTCTCGCTCCACCGATTCCTATGGCTCCAGTCTCCCCCAAAGGAGAGAATCCAAAAATCCCTAAAGCCGCTGTGGAAACTCTGGGTCTTGAAAGAAGGACCCAGGACCGCTGCTTGAAGCGATTCTCTTCGGAGGCGCCGGGCCATCAAGCCCTCCGAGTTCCGCCGCTTCTACGACCGGGGCGACCTGCCGATCCAGGCGCCGATGGGGCGCCGAGGGCGGTGCATGCAGAGACACATCCCACCAGTCTCACGGTCCCACAAGGTGCTGAGTCTCACGGTCCCACAAGTCACACAAGTGACTTTTGAAAAGCAAATGAGCAATCTCTTGTGATCTCTTGTGCTCCAGGGAGAGTGCGTGGGTTGCCATGGAAGCATCATGGGACCCATTTTATCCACCGTTCGGAGCAGAAGAGTTAAGTTAACCCTCCAAGTCAAGTGCTGGGGCGGAGGGAAGCGATTGGCATATGAACGGGGTTATGCTTTCAGGACTGGTGGACCTCTGTTTTCAAGACTAAAACATGTGTTAGCCATCTCTGACCGGATTGAGCCAATGGCGCTATCTCATCCTGCTACCAACTGCCAGGTGCAACACACTGGCACGCAGAACAAGATTGCAGGGACACCTGAGAAGTTGACGTGCAGACTCATCGCTATTAGGTTGGAGGCCATCGCTATTAATGGCGGTCAGGCTCGCTTGATCGCTCCAAGATGTTGACGGTTGCAGCTCACCCCCCTTTTTTGGGCACATGCATTTGACTCCAAATTGATTCACCGTAATATGGCAGGCCCGTCAAGATATGCTGAGCACCTCCTACTCTCCACCTGCTACTCTAGACAACGCTCAAGGTCCTGCTAGGACACAGCAACAAAGGCAGCAAGTCATCACTGACGCTCCTGGGATGCTTCCGGAGGAAATCATCACTGCCGGCTCCCTCCTTCCGTATCCCAGGCGTGGAAGGTGGACATCGAGAAGCTGGATTATCACCACTACCTGCCGATCTTTTTTGATGGGCCTGGCCCTCGAGCCCTTTCAAAGGACAAAACTGCCAGTGAAGCCAGTTCTGCGACCTTAGTACTTCACAAGTTCCTGTGGCAACGACCTCGCGGATCCTTCAGCAAGGTGGCCTTCCCCAAGCAACAAGTAAAGGAAGAAACAGAACTTCTCGACTCGTCACATCAGTGTGTGCTGCGAAGCCAGCTGTTTCAATTGATATGATTTGTGTGCATGTCTACAGAGAGGATGCTGCAACCTATTCCCCCAATTATAAGAAAGAGATCGTCGTGCTCACCATCTAGAAGCCAGTAATGGCACAGTAACGAGTCAAGTGACAGCTCACGTTCGCAGTACTGTTCTCCTTTTTAGAGACCAGAACATATAAGCCCCAACTCAGCTCACCGGCTGCTAAGGCTGCGAGAGAAGGAGGATCCGTACCGCTTTTTGGCTGTTGAGGCAAACTCAAAGATGGGCCAGAACTCTTTCAGAGAGCTCATTCCGTCGAAACAGTGGATAGGGAGGACAATAGCTGGGTCCGCCAGGATCTGAATGTGCTGTTATTCTTTTGACAGCTTGTGCTGGGTATGATGAGCACTGGACATCACAGGACCACGTTCAGTTTGGAACATGCCCAGATCTGAGCATCGTTCAGGGCAGAAGGCCAATTCTCGCAACGCTGCTCAACATCTCCGTTCAGCTACACCCGCGTTCGCAAAGGTATCCTTAGAACCATGTAACGGCTGAAAAGGAGGAACTTCACTTGACCCGAACTAACTTTTTTCGTTCCTTTAGTAGCCTTTTGCACAGCTGGCCTGGCCGATCAACAGATCTCAGTTTCTGTGTTTTGCAGGGCGTCTTCAACCTCCTAGAGCGTGGCAGTAGCAAGGCCGAGGGTGTGGCTGCCAGATGCTGTTTTGCACCGGCCGTCGACGGAACCTTTTGTGAAAAGAGCACTAGTCACTAGTGCTTAGTAGTTCAGGATCTTCCACAGCGGCATGGCTTCCCAGGTTGTTTTCAATGACGTGACAGCAAGAGTTGAAGTCTGAAACGGGGCACATTAACATGAACACTATTAACATAAACACATTGACAGCTGGGAGACCCTGTATAGGCAATATTGTAGGACCGGAAGACAGGTTGTTTCCTTTGGGATTTATTGAGCAATATCAATCTCAGGTACCGTGACAGATGACAGATGTGCTCATACCTTGTGATTTAGGGAGTGTTGGATGAGTGTCTGCCAGGAGTTGTGTGACACTGTGACATGTTTATTTGAGTGCTTGGAAATACCACGATGTCCCATGATATGTGCAGTTTGAAGTGTGCGCAGGCAAATAAACTAGTGATTGTTGAGTAAGATTCCATACCTGTACGGTAAGTTCTGAACGGTTTGGTTTTTGACATGGTTCCCTGTAAGAGAAAGGTTGCTACCTCACATCCTGATTTCCAAGCGCCAGTGGTGCTCAAGATCCGGCGCTGGTAAGCACTCATGGCCACTGGTCGCAGCTTAGAGCTTCAGAGCACTGAAGTGAGGTGACAGTGCAGCCGGAGGTGGGAAGAAGAGGGAGACAGCAAAATGTAGGAGGTCGAAAGTGACTAACTACTTCCGCAAATGGCCTCCAACCTAATTAGTAGTCATGGCCTCCACCCTAGTAGCGATGGCCTCCAACCTACTACTAAACTACGTCAGCAAGGTTGAAGTGGCTACAGGGTCCCGAAGGCTTCGTTCAACTGAGTCTACTTGGTCCTCAGCCTCCAGCGATATGATCGGATAGGAGTTGGATGCAAATGAGATAGGACTATAGGAAGTATTGTTGGCCTACATCGACAGGGTCACTGGCCGATACAGATGCAACGATACTTACTTTATCAACTACCTCTCGTCAGGTCTTCTGATGAGTCGACGTGTCTTCTTCAGCAACCTGGATTGATTGAGCATTTTGGTGTTTCATTACTACTCTTTTGTTATCTTTGTGTTCCTTGTAAGAAAGTTCACGCGCATCGCTCCTTCTTGGAGAGGTCTTGCTTGGTGGCCCTAGCTTGCAGCCCGTCCAGGTCTTGAAGTCATGAACATCAGACCTTTGGTAGCGTCCTTGCTTCTAGTAGCGATGCCAGGAGCCCCTAGTAGCTTCTTGTCCCTAGTAGCAAGAATGCTCCTAGTAGTACGGCCAGGAGCCCCTAGTGGCGTTCTTGCTCCTAATAGCGATGCTTCTTGTTCCTAGTAGTAAGGCCAGGAGCCCCTAGTAGCGTCCTTGCTCCTAGTAGCTTGGGTTGTTTCAACCAAGTTCCAATCTCATTTGCTCTGGGGGAATCAGTTCAAGTTTTGCAGCGGTTAGCCCTGCTTATATAATCCTCTTCAATCCTTTTCAGCTGGTGTGAAACATAATATTTTTCTGCCATCACCCGTCCTTCAGGTCCCCCCAAAATCCAAGGCAATGTGCCCTTCAGCACCACCGAAGACACCTTGGTCGAAGTCTTTCAGTTGGTTGGGGAGGTTGCAGAGCTAGAGCTGCGTCCTGGCCAGACTTGTATATCGTTCCTTTTTTTTGCAATGTCTTAAATGATGGACTTCGTATTCAAAGTATGTTTCCATAGTTCAGCTCAAAGCTTTGATTTTTGTGCAGCCGTATGTGCCGGGGATTGGCAACATTCTTGAACTGTTCTCCTATGTTCAGATGCTTTCGTGAGCACCGAAGGTTCCAGACCGCCCAGGGCTTTCGCGGCATGGGCGTGTGCATCTACAAGGACCCCAAGGATGCGCAGGAAGCCATCTCTCGGCTGCGAGATATGGACGTCGATGGCCGATCCCTGTGGGTCGCAGAGGAGAGGGTAATCAGAGGGTGAGCGAACACATTTTTTCAACAAGGCTGCAAACTGACACCAAGTCACAAAGAATGACAACTAACTCGGCCACATTGCCAAGGTTCCAATCACAATTGGACACCCCACGGCACCCTTCGATGCCCCATGCCCAGCAGGACACTGGTAAGAAGCTTCACTCCAGCGCAGACCGTGCTGCACACGAAACGCCGCCGCCTGCGCGAGCTGCGCGGGGGGTGAAAACTGCTGAGCTGCCAACGGAGGTCTTCTTCAGCAATGTGCCGTATAGCCACCAAGCTTTCGAAAAAAGGGAGTAAAGAATATTTGTTTTGAAATCAGTGTTTTGTCCGCATGCGGTGGGCATGCGGGATTAAGTGGCCCAAAGTCTCTGGGCCCAGTGGCGAGGAAGGCTAGTTTCCAACGAAACGGTGTGTGGCAAACTTCATCAACTAACTAACCAACTGGAGCGATCAGTGATCAGCTAAACGTAGAGAGGATCATCCTCTCGTCCGATGACAGTGGGTGAAACCGATGAAGATCACCCACCCACTCACCCATCCTGCAACACGTAGTCTTTGAAATGCAGTTTGCGGCTTATCCCCTGTCACATGAAGAACGATAAGCCAATGTGGTCTCATAAGAACTACTGACCAGTGCAGTTGGATTCATTTCTGGGGGTGGTGGTGATGGTGGGGACTCGTGGGAGGCCTTTGGACAACTATTGAGGGAACTTTGAAAAACCCGACAAACAAATACCAAAATGTGCTCAAAACCAGCAAAACGAATGGACCGAAAGGGGCACCTTTTTGACCAGCAAATGCTGTAAGGGTTGCACGATTTTTTTGCTGCCAGATTTCTCTATCAACCGTGGGGCGGCAATGATTCTGCTAGGATGTTTTTTTGCAGGTTGTCTCATGTCGCATCGTTTCGCCGAACACCATAAAGTTCTCGACACATGGTTACAAAAACATGGATCGTTTCCGAAGCATTCCAACCAGTTCCCGAAAAACTAGTGTCGGAACCATATAATATAGAACCATGGTATCCAAAACGGTTTTTGACTTCCAACAAGTGTGGGTATGTTTGAGGGAGTTTGGGGACCGGTTTCGGACAGACGAGGCACTTCTGAAGAGACCTTGCGGGAACTCTTCAACAGCTGCGGGGAGGTCTCCTCCCTCCAACTCTTTCGCCAGAAGACCGGCGAGTCGAGGGGGATGGGCGTGGTCTCCTTCCTGGACCCGGACTCGGTGACTCGGTGCAGGATGGCCCCCCGAAGGTCGCGATCTCGGACGCTACGAACGGGGCGCTCCTGGCATTACTGTAGGAAGTAGGAACAAGAAGCTACTAGAAACAAAAGGCAATCACTACGAACGGAGCAAGAGGAACACAGTATATATTTAGCTTGCCTTTAGCCTGCGGGTTCAATGAGGACACGGGTGGGACTTGGGCCCTTGAGTTGAGTCTTTACGGTTGAGCAACAGACCATTGGTGTACCACCTGTTGCACGGAGAGGTGGCATGATAAACTCGAGCTCCCTGAAGCGGCCCTCAGGAAACCTTGGGGACAGCACTTTTCAATTCATCCTATTTTCAGAGGGGCTGACTCGCTTGATACAGGAGCGCCAACGAAGGACTTGTTCAATTCATGAGACTCCCGATGATTTCAACTTGATCCCATTCGCTGAGGTGCAACGTGCCGTCCAAACGTTGAGAGACCATGAGGTGGGTGACCGCAAAATGTGGGTCTCCACGCACGCTCGTGTTGTTGCGGATCGTGGGGCTGTCCAGCCAGTGAGCAGTGCAAAGGTCTTCTTCAGTAATGTACCCTTCGATGTGGGAGAGGATCAGCTGAGAGCTCTGTTTGAAGAGGTCGGAATCGTCCAAGAATTAACGATTTTCTTGAAGCCCGATGGTCAGTCCAGAGGCATGGGACACTGTACCTTCCAGAACCCCGTCATGGCCGCGAATGCCATCCGCGGGCTGCGGGACCGTGACGTGGGGGGGCGCCCCATTTGGATTGCGGAGGATGTGAAGAGTCCAGGGCCACAAGCCACAGCGCCACAGGCACTGCCCGTGCAACACTTCGCCCCAGTGCAAATGGTCCCGGTGGCTCCAATGGGACGGATCCCGCGCTTTGAAACTGTAGCGATGGCTCCGTTGGCCCCCTCGGTCCCCACCTCCGCGCGGATCTTTTTTAGCAACGTGCCCTTCGATGTCTTCGAGAAGCAGCTGGAACAGCTCTTCCGGAGCATTGGGCCTATCACAGAGTTACATCTCATGAAGTCAGCCGATGGACGGTCCCGTGGGATGGGCCATGTCACCTATCCAACGCCCGAGTTGGCGGCTTTGGCGATCCATCACCTCATGGACCGCGACGTGGGAGGTCGCCCTATCCTCGTGAAGGAGGACCGTTCCACCATGCAGACAGCGCCCATGAGCGCACCTCTGCCGATGCGGGCAGCGATGCCACGTGCACCGAAAGGCCCACCCTCAAATGAGATGTTGGCAACATCCAGCAAGATCTTCTTCAGCAATGTACCCTACACTGTGGGCGAGGAAGAGCTTCTGAGCTTGTTCCGGCAGGTGGGCGGCGTGCTGGAGTTGAACCTCTTCCGGACGGATGAGGGACGCTCGAGGCGCAAGGGAGCTTGTCGGTGTTAGGTTTCAGCACATCATTTCAATGCTTATTTAATTAGTATATGTCAGAAACCTCCTCGTCCTCCCACAAAGAAACAGAACAGACTTATGATGACTTCTGAACCTTGATAAACAAGAGTGCCAGCCCCAATCCCAGTCCAGAGCTTTGGTCTCCCTGTCAGGGGTATGGGTCATTGCTTATTTCAGACGCCTCAAGAGGCACAGACCGCGATCCAAGAGCTCCGGGATGTGAACGTGGGTGGTCGCCCCATCTGGGTCTCGGAGGACAGCCGCGGAAAGGCGCCGAACTCGGCGGGAAGGACCTCGCGCCCGCGGCCGTATTAGCCGCCCGAAAAACAGGGCGCGGAGCAAGCAGTGGGTGCCAGTGTGCCTTTAACCAAGGCTTTTGAAGGGGTTTTAAGTCTATGGGGACGGCCGTTCATGAGGCATGGCCCAATGGCGGAACTCTTTTAAGTTTCCCAAACCTCGATCCGTGATCGTATGATTTTGGTCGTGCTCGAAATGTTCTTTTCCAGTGGCACAGCCTCCTCCAACAACGTGGGCAAGAAGGTACAGGTCCAGGGCGCAATGTCAGCTCACCTGGTTTCAACTTTCAACACTAGAGTCACTAGAGGGCACATGGACACCGAGGATATGGTAAGGTGGAATTGGCCAAGGGCCAAGTGGAATCCAATCACATTCAATTGCCCTCCGCGACCAGGTTTCACACCCCTCAAGCTACAGTCATAGTCAAGGTGTCAATCTTTGACTGCTGTCGTTGGCCGATTTCAGCATTTGTGAACAGAGATGCCAGAATACTAGGTAGTTTTCCAACACCTCTACTTGAGACAGTTGTGGCTGCTCTTGGGCTGAGCCCAGAGATGACAGGTATGACAGGTATGTCATCAGGTGTCACAAAGTGTTGAATGATTTCACTGGAAAGCTCCGTCAGTGTCACAAAGTGTTACATGCTTCGAAACGCCCGTTGGCCTTGTTTCTTTATTCTTCGGACATCGCTGTATCCTTCGAATGGCACCGTGTAACTCGGACCGCCCATGTCGGCCAGATCCTGCCGGTGGTACCGCAGCTGATTATGCCCATCAAGCCCGGGGTCCTGAGGGGTGTTGGATCCCATGGGTGATCCCATGGGCTGGATTGGTAGAGCTGCAACAAACTCCAGAGATTATGCTAAATCAGTGTTTCTTGGAACACGTTTTTGGGAAAAGAGTCTCTTTTCGAACTCCTCTGCAGTCTTACAGCAAATTTTGCTGTGCTCTCTGCTGAATCCGTTGGATGATGCTGCATGAGCACATGCCATAGCGTGCCATGACATAGCCCGAACGAGACCGAGGACTGCGCTGAACACCAGAGACGCGGAGGTCATCAATACCACGCTGAAGGTCTTACAGGTGGATCAACTGGGAGAAGCCGGACACACGCTCAAAAGACCAGCAACGCCCCACGAACTCATCGTTTCTGTGATCGGGTGTGATGCTATCAAATGCTATCAACATGAGTCCAGTACGCCACACGACAAGGTGACAAGGATTCAGACATTTGTTTCGGGGAAACCGGCATATTGGATCATTTGGGCAGTTGGATTGACCCTGACGTCTTTTGTGGTGACCAATTCAGTCCTTTTGTTTTGTTTGTCAGGAGTTCAAGGAGTTATGAAGTCAGGGTGGCGGCAAGGGTGTCAAGGTCGCATTGTGCAAATACTTGTGAAGCACGGTGCCCAGGTAAGGATAATTGGATAATGTTGTGAACATAATGTCAAACATGATATCCAAAGTCAAGGAGAATGTCCACAATGTTCCTCCAGCAACACACCACATTTTCTTGACTCTTAAGCCTCCGCTGAACTTTCCTGACTTTGGCAGGCGCTAGTTCTTTCAGGGGAGATGATCGGTGAGGCCCTAGTGCCGTGCGCCATTTGCAGCTTGCGCCATCTGCAGCTTTCGTTATCTTGGGTGGCAAAAAGTTACAGGGTGATGGTCTCGAAATCCTCATTGAGGAATCGTAGAAGAGGACGCAAGATCATGCTTGCAGGTCTGTAAGTAGCAGATTCCGAGTACCTTGGCTCAAAGTGTGAAGTCAGATATGCAATCGGCGAAACCAGTGACAACCAAGTCAAGCAGCAACATCTTTGGACATCTACGGGCCTCTCTAGAAAGCCATGTCAAAGCTGAAAAGGCGAGTACCTCGGCAAAGCATACAAACGTGACAACACTAGCAAAACCGAACAAGGGATGATCCTCTTGACCAGCAAAATCCTCCAAGTTGATGTCCTTTTTGTATCTTACTGTATCTCCTGACCGGACCTCGCCATGGGTGATGAAGACTTGGACGAATATCCAAGTGCAGTAAAGCTGATCAGTAGTCCGGCATCACCGCACTTGGCTGAGTTCTCCCAGGAGGCGGCCACTGCTTCGCTCGTTGCCTTTGATGTCCAGTGGAACCCAGACTTCGAGGAAGGGAGTGACAACCCGGTGGCACTTTTACAGCTGGCTTTTCCCACATCTGGTAGTACCTATGTACTGCAGCTGCCGTTGATGGGTGCTGTTCCGGAGTCAGCTCAAAAGCTCTTTGAGAGCTCGAAGGTGCTGACGGTTGGATTTGCAACCTCCTTCGATAAGCATAAGCTTGAGATCTCCGGAGTGAAGGTTGACAAGAGTACTTTGATTGATGTTCAACCCTGGTGCGAAGCAGAGATGGGCGAAAACTCCAGCGTGCGTCAGGGATGGCGTGTGGGCTTGAAGAGGGCAGCGCGTTGCGTACTGGATTTTGAGTTGGAGAAGACCTGTACCATGGCGTCTTCCAACTGGGAGCGACAAGAACTGACGACAGCACAGGTCGAATACGCTGCGATGGATGTTTGGGTGGCTTTAAGACTGTACCAGCAATTAGCACCAGTCTATGGTGCAGCTGTTGGGAAGCGTCAGAAGACAATGCACCCAGACGGAGAAAATAGCTCTTTTGCATGATGGGCTTCCGAGCTCGCTCAAGACACAATTGGGCCACCATTGTCCCGAGTATGCTTTGATACAATACATTCTGTTCCCTGCTTGTAGGACGCATGTACGATATGTAGTACTGAAGCAGTTTAGAGCTTCCAGTTTATGGACAGCTTGCTGAACATCTCCGCAGGTACTACCGTCAGATCCTGCCCATTTTTAGCATTTTCAAGCAGTGCTGCTGGAGCCCGAGTGCGTGTGCCGACTTGCTGATCCACTACGTTTGTGATGTTTACGATATTTTTTTAAATGTATGTCTACAAGATCATACATACTGTGACTCGAAGCCAGCAACAGGCCGGCTTTGCGGCCTTTTGGAAATACATGATATCATGATATTTCAGTCAACTAGAGCAGCAAGCATTCATAGTTTTTTTTAGTACGCAAAAAAAGTATGATGGAAGACCACTCTTGAAGCCGTGTAAAGCTGTACAGATTTCCGGGCCCAAGCTGTTACGCGTTCTCCATTTGGTCCGCCCAAAGGCCCCAGCACCTTCGATCAGATCGACTATGCCCAGCGGAAGCGTCACTTGGCAGAGATGTGTGCGCTTTGGGTGTGTTCCTGTCTTTGCACCATTTCCAGTAACATAACATATTCTGGTGGAGCAAGAGTATCCGGCTGCTCAACACCGGCTGCTTTAGAGTGACAGTGCCCATGCGGCTAGTGGCCATGCGGCCATGCCTTCAACACAAGAAAGGCTTTGAGGTTTTGAGCGTTTTGAAGTGGGCTTCAGGTGTTCCAATTGAGCCCAGCCTGCCAGACATGTGTTTCGTTTAAGGGAACAACATTGGCGAGCTGATAGATGAGACCCTCGAGATTTTTGAGATCCATGGCGGAGAGGCCTTTTATGTCAAATTTCTTGTGCAAAATCAGAATCACGGATGTATCGTTATGTATATATATATATATATGATTATAGTCAGCCACAAAACTCAACAGCATTACAAACGTATGCCAATCTTCTCGTGCAGGACGAACCCGGACACCCCTAGGGGCAGTTTCTTGCTGTGCTGTTGGGGTGCTCCAATGGTTGCAATGAAACAGTTGCAATGAGCTGGGCCGGTTTGACGGTTTGACAGTCTCCCAAGTTCCAGAGCACATCACGTCCCATGAAAGCAGACTGGCTTGCCAAGGCCCGCAGCAGGGAACCCAACAACCACTTGGCTCATCCTATCGCCAAAGGAGCCATGCAGAGCCTCCCAGCGCCCTGCAGGATGCTTTCATCAACATCAAGTACATGATCCCCACCTACGAGCTCGGCGACCCCAGCGACCCCATGTTGTGGTTGCGATCCGGAACAAGATGGAAGAGGTGAAGTGATCGAAGGACTCGGCTTCCTTAAGCTTCTTTCCTTTCAGATCCTTTCAGCATGGTTTGGACTTTAGAAGGCAGAACACAAAACCTTCAACCTGGCTGCATAGCAGGTTCGAAGTGGTTGAGGTTGGAGAGGTTGGTCCTCCCGCCCCGGACCTTTGGATCCCAGTGCCGAGGTCCTGCATGCTCGGATGAGCGCCGTGCATGCTGGATGACCGTGTATAGCCAGAGCGCGGGATGCACCTGACCATGTAACCATGGCATCAGGCTGCGGAGTCGTGAACTTCCCTGCGAGCTAATCCAGCCAAAACACCACCTGAGGCTTCTGCATGTCAACTGGTGATGCTCAAGACATTGAAGACTTTCAGATCCGTTGGACAGATTGACTTGAAGGATATTAGAGGGATTCCCATTATATCCGCTGAGCTTGGGGCTTCAAGGCATTTTGGGGCCTGTCAGGGTTGTTCTTTTTGTGCTTTGAAACTTAGGTAGAATTAATACGAAAGAGCGGCCCAAATAAGAGCAGTCAGTTGTTGGAGACCATCGCTATTAGGTTGGAGGCCATTGCTATTAGTGCTAATAGTTGCAAATGCTTTGATGTTTTGATATTTTAGTTTTAAAGTAGTTAGTAGTTGGAGGATCCGAGATGGCGCTTGCAACGCCAGGGAACTTCATGGAAGTCCGTCAAGTCGCGCTTTTTTTGCGCTTGGCTTTGGCTCAACTCGTTGCTGTGAGCACAATGATGACATGTATATGCAATCAGTCCTTGGGTAGTGCTTTCGTTTGTTGCATCACAGTATGTTTGTGCCGCAGGCTGAGCCACTGCAGCCGCTGTGTCACACGAATTTCTTCGGAGGGGTTGGGAGAACCAAGATGGGTGCTCATTGAACGAATCCAATCCCAACACTTGTTTGCAAATATTTTGCAGTTCTGTTTCTTCACAATGACTACAAGGGTCAGCTTGGTGACGACCTGACCTGGTCGATAAGTCTCATATGGAAGTGAGGCTTTGTGACACGTAATTT